TTCAAAAGTAAATTTATGTTTGTTATTTGTACATTCCGACCTCTACAGAAACGCTGCAGAGAAATAATGGGCCCTTTAAATCACGGAGTTACGTTAATTGCATTCTGAGTGGCATGTTTAGTTTAGTGGCGTTTAATGTAATACTGTACGTGTATATATAACACAGCTATAAAGCGTAAAGTAAATAAAAGAATGTAATGTAGCGTCGACGACTGGCTGAGAAATAGAACAGGATGAAAAGTGGCTGCTGTGAGATGAGGACAGCTTTTGCGGTGAGACTATCAACAGAGCAATCATCAAGGATGACCCAAAAGAGCAGAGCGAAATTAAAAGACCGGCAATCATTTTTCAAATTCACTGGCGAGGCAGAGCTTTAACTTTTTCCTATCTAATACTTGCCATTCATCACTGAACCCTGTACTGTGATCTTGAGAGCAAAGTGGTATTAGCACTTGAAGTTGTATACTTTTTATGTTATTGTGTTCTTTGCTGAACATCATATACTATTGTGCTATCTATCTATCTACTATTGTGAAAAGCACAAAGAAATGAAATTCAGTGCTATCAAGTTTAAATTCATCATGTTGACACTGCCTGGTGAAACACAAATCAAAGCTACTGTATGTGTGTAGCATAAAAATGAGTGCTTATGTCATTAGAATGGTTTTCTATGTCAGGGGTTTCCAAACAGCATTATCTTCTGACTGCGAACAAACAAGGCTACATAATATAATCATTAATTATTCATTTGTTTAGCATAGAGAAATTATTACCGAGATGTTTTTTGTGTGTGCTACACGCTAGTTTTTAGTAGCAGAGCAGCTCGATAACAGGTGCAAACAACCAGGTCTACACAGATGTTACACAAGGTGTGTTCAGGAAACAACGATTACAGCAGTTTACGTGTTGTACGGTTCAGGAAAAATGGTTATTAAAAAAAATTCAGAATTTTGGTGGGCCGGATTAAAAAACTTAACGGGCCGCATCTGGACCACGGGCCTTAGTTTGCCTATGCCTGGTCTAATACAACACTGTACCCATAAACAGTTTAAGGAATGGATATTCAGTACTGCTTAAAAAAAGGCTCAGACACTGAGCAGCTCAACAGGAAATATCTATCCTCCGTTCATGTACGTGTGTGTGTGTGTGTGCATAAGTCCAAAACATACAAAAGAAGCCGTCACAGTTACATGTTTTTAACAAAGGAGGTCTTTAGCACCTGCTAATGTTACAGTGCTACGCCTGCTGAATTATAAAGTTAAAGTTACCTACAGTAATCATCAGTAGATGCCCACAGCTGTAAGGCTGCATAGTAGTTTTAGTTTTTTTCACCAGATGCCCTTCTTGACACGAGACACATGACATGGCAGAATTAATTCAATCCAACACAGAATCTTCTGTGTGGAAAGTAGGACTCCTACCACTGTGTACCTACAGCCAAGAGTTTAAAAACCTGTCTCTTTGGACCATGTTCTGATTCCTTCCATTATCTACTTTAGTGTTTTTCAGCCATGAGGCCGCAGCCCAAAATGGGGACACCTGGAATTGAAATCAGGTTGTCTAAAATTTCTAGTAATTAATATTAAAAAATAATATACAACTATTTTTCCAATGTATTAATTTGTATTAATTATGACTAAAACAGCACAGACCATCTTTAATAACTGTATTGTTTCTTTTTCATGAATAAAAATGGAGTTTGAATAAAATGCAGTATATAAAAATATCTGAGCTGGTGCATCAGATATTTTTATCTGACTGCACAAGTGACAGCTTCTTGAGTTTCCATGCTTCAACTTGCGTCTAAACACAAACTTGCACTCAAGTAGAGAACAACAGCAAACAAAACGGAAAGATTTATTTGCCCGCCTAAGGCCAAAAAGACAGATTCAAGAGGAAGGAGAAAAAAACTGCGGTTGCCAAAAATTTGTGATAAATATCAAAATCTAGTCAGAAGCCGAAAAAGTTGGAAAACAGTGGTTTATTACGTGGTAAGGCTGGAGACCAGCTATCAACAGGAGAGGGCAGTGTACACCCCCGACAGTTCATGAGTCAATCGCAGAGTCACGTGAAAAGACAAACAACCATTCACTCTCACA